GGTTCAAAATCGATCCCCCAAGTATGAATGATTTCAACCAGCACAAGCGAGTGATGAGTCTACCACAAGGACGTTTCTCCGTGGACAAAGTTCTCTCTGGCCCAGGCGTGGTGCAGATCACCAGCCTCTCCACTGTAAATGGCTCCCCACCGCGCGGAAGGCACAGAACAATAGCTGAAATTATAATGGGACTGACCTATGCACACATTCTCATCGTCCAGCTGTGCAGAAGCATTTCTGAAGTAGCCCAGCCTGCATAACTCACAGTGCTGCCCTCTAGTGTTGTGTTTACAGCTCACGCAAATGACTGTGTTTAGCAGATCGATATAACTGCATCGATTGGAGTGGCCGAAGCATTCACAATCTTGCAAGGAAGAACAGAAATGTATACAGAGTGTATACGGTAGCAGAGTAATAGCGCACTGCATGCTCGGATCACATGAGGAGTGGAAGAGAGATGGCGGAACGGCATCACATGTACGCGACGCGACAGGACACATGGCGAGCGCAGGTGGCTGTGACTGGCATGGAGGTAGCATCCGTTTCAAGCAGGACAGAAAGGTGGAACATTCAGAACAGGACTGCAGAGGGAGAATTCTTGGCAGACAAGATGAACAGAAGCATTTGCAGGTGCACACCTTTTCATGTTTGGGAAGGACTGGCTCTTGTTAAGGCAAAAATCTAATTTTTGCACAGCGAGAACTTTGCTGTCTCTGCATCGCTTCCCCCGTCTTCTCTTCAAATGGGCATCTTACAAAAGAGGTCGGGAGGTACGGGAGGCCTAAGACCTGAGCCTGTCATCGCCCATGGCCCCTTGGTTTAGGGTCTCACCACCACTTACGCCAAGGGGGTAACCCGGCCAGGGTTTCACAGAAACCATGGCCAATTCAATAGGCATCTGGACAACAGCACACTCTTTATTCGTGCTGTAGCCCCAAACGCTCAGAGGAAGGATGGCCTTGAACCGGGCCACGTCTGTGTGTCTGTTTCTGTGGGAGAGAAAATATAAAAGGCAGGGAGGTTATATGTCTAAACGAGGGGCTCTCCTCAGATTTCTTTTTTCCCCCAAGGTTTGAGCTCAGTCTGCTACAAAAGGAAGACCAGGCAGCTACTGTGTCCCCAGAGTTTTTTCTCTCTGCTTCCTCAAAGTGTTGGAGGCGCCTCTGGAGCTTGGGGGTGACGATGACGAGACCTGGACAGGGGATGGAGAAGAGAGGGTGGCAGCAGGGGAAGGGTGCGGGGCAACTGGCTCTTTTTTCCCTGTTGCATCTCAGCGAAAGCACGAAGTTGTTCACCTAGTTCACTCTTTTAAAAAGAACCGGTCAAGACAAGGCCTTTGTGGGTAGCAATAACCATCAAATTATCCCCCCCCCCCGCCCAAGGAAAAAGGTGAGGATAACAAGGTAGGGAATCTAATTTGTCTTCTCAAAATATGGGGATAGACCTAGCTGGGCATGTTAGGGGAAGGTCAACCATGATACTGCAAACCTTGCTTATCTAGAAATACCCTTCTTATGTCCACTGTTTATTTTAGCTCGCTAGGAAGCCACACATAGTCCCTGAGTCCACTCACTCATGCACGCATGCACGCATGCCTCCATCCACTCAAGAGATACTTTATTGGGTCTGTCTACCCTGCACCAGGCACCATGTGAGGTGCCGAGTTACCCTTTTGGCCTAGATAAAATTTTGGAAGAACTGCACTTAATGCCCAGGATAAAAAAGAACAAGCATCACCAGACAGGAATAAGGAAGAATAAGGAAGGGAGACTGGCCTTCCTCTTTCCTGTTTTTGTTTTTTTTAAATTAGCCTGCTGCTCCCCATCAGGATGACACTGATTCGTTTCCCGGAGAGCCAGGACGTAGACAGAGAGCCCCCTCTGCCGACACGCCCAGCACGTGCCTGGCGCCTCTGACCTTGCTGTGACCTCTGTCCAGCACACTCCTCCTCAGACATCCCTACAACCTGCTTCCTCGCTTTGTTTTCCGTGCTCTGCTCCAAGAAAATCCTGTGACTGCTCTATCTGAAACAACAACCCGGACCCAAACGCACGAATCCCCCAACTCCCCAGGCCTGTTGATTTTTTTTCATAGAATGTTTACCGCCCGAAAACTACACTGAGAAAGAGATCGTCCCCACACTCGATGGTAAACACACGCGCGCAGACATGTCTGTTTTGCACATGGTGCCACCACACGCTCAGAACATCGCCTGGCGCATATTAAACACTCAAAGAAGGTCACCAGGTGGGTGACTCAGTGAACCAGTGATGGTCCCGAGGCACCCTGCTTTGGGGGACAGAGGAAGACACAGAGGAAAATTACGCTTCCATTCATTCCTCCACCATTCTGACTCCATAGGCGTCTGCCTACATCCTGTGTACTAAAGGGTTTAGGAAAACAACAGCAGCACAACAAGACAGGACTGAATTAGTCGTTATTTTAGCAGATCGCTGACTCTGTGTCTACACAGGTAGGAAATTTAGGCAGGAAAAGGCTGATTTCTGAACATTGCTGTGGCTCTTTAAAATACGATGTTTTGATCTCAAATTGCTTTGCAGACTATATGTATTTTTTTGTCAGACAGATCTGAATTGCTGTTGTGCACACACCCCCAGCTGTGGCCTCCCAAACACACCGGCGTGGCACGGCACAGAAGACACCGTAAACCCCTGTTCACTGAGAAGCACCTTCTGCCAGGGGACCACGTGAAGGAGGCCCCCGTCCCGCCAAGGTCAAGGCAGAGTGTCTCAGCCTTGGCACTACTGACATTTGGGGCCAAACGATCCTTTGTTGTCCTGTTTATTACAGGATATTTCTGAAGCATCTCTGGCCTCTACCCCCGAGCTGTGACAACCAAAATTCCCCTGGGGGACAAAATCCTCCCTAAGACGTGTGTGAGATCGTATAAGGCAGTTATGCTAATAAGGGACTTAGGGACTGGCCAGTCGCGGCGACAAAAGCCGGAAGGTGTCAGAAGAGGGCGTGTTCAGAGGTGGCTTTCTCGAGGAGAAAAGACCCCAACCTCTCCGAAGGCTTAGAAGCTCTGGGGCTGGGTTGGGGAGACCCGAGCAGCAGGTGGGGGGGACCCGAGCGGGTGGGAGTTGCAGGAAGACAAAAGGCTGGAGAGAGAGGACGGAAGGAAAAGGATGCTGGGAAGAGGAGGGGGATCGATGTCCCCCTGGTGCCTTCTTTCTGACTGGTGCCCACGTGGCTTCCAATGACGTTATTAATTCGCCTGTGTCAATGTGAGACAAAGTGCTCACGATGTGGCCCCGGGAATTTTTTTTTTTTTTTCCTAATGAGGAAAGCTTATTCAACGTTAGCCCCGGAGGAAATTCACCGCAGATGCTCAGAAAGCAAGGGCTGAGGAACATGACGTTGGGCAGACAGAGGGTGAGTGAATGGGAACTCTGCAAACACACTCCCGTCGCCGCAGGAGCAGAGTTGCCTCCCAAGGGGCCTTCCCGTCGGCCTGGTCCTCTAACCCTAACCCCGACCCCAACCCTGCCTCACGCCTTGTCGTAGGCTGAGAAGCCCTTCCAAACGCATCACTGGGTGACCAGGGGTGACAATTCCACTTCACTGGGTGGCTCCTTCCTGCCCCCAGAGAAGTGCTTGGACCTTACTATTGCTGCGGCACCAGGACACCAGAGGCTCAACGAGGGAAAGAGGGTCCAATCTCAGGTCAAGGGGCCTCTGGTCTCCCCAGTGTGCTTGGCACGGCATGGACGAGAGGAGCTTTGTGACAGTCCCCGCTGCTTCCTTTCTCTGTCACCTCCCTGTCTTTGCAGACCTGCGCATCGTGGGTGAGGAGAGATGCCCCACTGTGGCCCCGTGGCTGCCTCCTGACTCGTGCCCATGCCCCAGTAGGCTGGGCAGCCTGGCCGGGAGCCGCTCTGCTCGGAAGGGACTTAGGTCCCTACAGTTCAGATCCACTCAGAAACCCTTCAAAAGGGCACCGTCGGTGTTGGCTGGCTATGTCAGGGCGCAGTGTGAGGGGAGAGGAGGACGTGGTTTTGATACTGTCGTTTCTGCCTCTCCCACGTTCTGCCCCGTGTCCTCCTTTTCTCCATGGGCCACAGAAGGACCGATTCAACGTTAAATAAAATCTGGGAACTAGTTTGATTACATTCGACAAGGAATACGGAAGCTAATTATGGTCATGTTCACCAAGTAGTTCAAACTAAATGCAGACTCTGTTAGTAAATGTATTTACTTTTAAAAGGTGTGTCCTTAAAAAAAGAAAAAAAGAAAAACATAACATCTGCCCAATCGTCCCAGGTGGAAAAAAAAAGACGCATCGGTCACATAGGAAGGATGTTTAAAAGAAAAAGGTGAAATAAAAACAGAGGTCGTTCAGTTTCCTGAAAAACCTTCCTTCTCTGAATGACAGATGCTAGTGGAATGGGCCACTCACGAGTCATAGATCAGACAGCTGCGGCCTTTCAGTTAAAGAACGTAACATCGTTACTATTCCTGGGTCATGGTCAGTGCTTCACCCAGGACCGATCTCCACTGGTATTTGTTCCAACTCACTTCAAATAATGTCTGGAAGTAGAAATTCTAAGAGAGCACGTTTGTTCCAGCATCACAGGGGCACCACCTCCAGAACCTGCCATTCTGTTCTCACGACAAACTTCCTTGAAACTCACTCGAAGTGAGCTTCCGTATTTTCAGTGCAAATGAATCACAGCGTCAACCCTCTAGCATTCGGGTTAAACAGGAACCTGAATGGTTATAGCTCTTACCCACACACGAATCTTTCAGAAAGCAAATGGTGCAGCATCGTTAATGTGCAGCCAATTTCTCAGTTTTTTTTTTGTTTTTCTCTTACAGATGACATTTTCAGTATTCTCGGATGCATTTGGTCGGTATCAGTCAACATGCCTCACCGATAAGCTGATGGGTACACTTCACAGATATTCCAGATTCATACAGTGCAATGTTTCACAACACATAACACCATGAAATCACTGTATGAATCCAAGAATTCCTACCTCTCTTGTGGTTTGCAACTTGAACAGAAGAAACTGTTGACAAAGCTACTTTGGGAGCAACTGGATAGGTTTAAAGAAATGAACAACAGCACATTAGAAACAATCGTGACACGTTCAAACGGCAACAACTTATCATCAACCCACTTGAACAGTAGCCTAAGTCGAGAGACTATTTGTATCTGTTCTTTCTGAGAGTTTGTTTCAGTTACAAAAAAATTCCGCTTTGTATTTATTTGGCTGGAAACAGTTTAACATGGTCAGAAATGAGGTCTGGAGGCTCTATTTTCAGGGGCAAGAATAATGACCACTTAAATCAAGAATCCAGGTGTGCAAAGATTAGTCCAGGAACAATACGCATCCCGGATTCCCTGTTGCCCCTCTCTTATCTTAAAATAGTGGTTTGTGTCGTTGAGTTCGTTAGCTGCATCATTGCCTCAGGCCACCAGGTCATCTCCTCTGTGTGACTGTAAGCTCATCTGCATGTAAACCAGTTAAAACTGTTTTTGTAGAACTGATCAGACATCTCAGAAAACCGTCAGCATAGCCTAGCATTCAGCAGCCTCTGGACCTCGGTCTCAGAGTCACCTCAACTCTGCCTGCCTCTCAAAAATGTGGTCTTCTTCTCAACATTTATTACCTTTGGGATGATACCAGTTTGTGATCGGTAGGGCTGTTTCTCTAAGTTTGCCTATTATTTCTTTCCCAATTATTCATGAAGAGTTGCTTGTGCAAATAGCCAAACAGAACTGAGCCTGATGTTCTTTGCAGATGTTGACAAGATAAATTACAACTGCACAGAACTGGCGTCCCCTGGAAAGCGCACCTGAAGCTACAATTTCTAGCCCAAGCATTTTAGTCCACAGTGCCGCTTCCCAAATAAATTCATCAGAACTCATTATCCACATTCTGAAACAGTGCGGCTGGCGTTAACTAAAGGCATTTCCGAATGCTTTTAGTCCTGTGGCACTCACTGAAAACACAGCCAAATAATTAAATGGGCCTGTTTCAGGGTTTGAACAGCGCCTAACTTTGCTCATCTCGAAATTCACGGGGAAGAAGTGCTCAGCGTCAGATTCCGTCTTGCGTGATCTGCAGAACTCTGAAATTCAGCGGGAACTGGGCAGTGACATTTGACAACAGTCTCGCCGACCGTGCCAAGGAATAAAGCCACTGAACCTCGCCCAAACCCTCCCAGAACTCCTTCCACCGACACGGGTGGGTTGGATCTGGATTTCTCCCACCTACACATGCAGAAGCCTGAAGAATTCATTTGAAGCAGATGATTAAGGTAATTCTATTTACTAGTAATGTATGCATCTAGGACAGTCTCGAGTTCGTCACTCTGATCAAGGACTGAAAATGCAGTCCTTACAAACCGACTCCCCAACACACGGCTGATGCATTCCGTTTTGCCTAGCGGCTGTGTTGGGCTCTGACCCCTTGCCCACTTCCTCCTTCATCTGTATTCACTGAAATTTAAAAGGAACATCCTGTGTGTAATGAAGGCAGGTAAAGCCAGAGACGTGCCTTTTTTCCCCTGAGAAGGAGGGAGGTAAAAGAACACAATTTCCTACCAACATAAACTCCTATGTATACAGGCCTATGTAGAGCTATGGGCTAGGTATTAGTGTGAACTGAACACTACGCTGGATCTTAGGAATTTCATCGCCCAGGTTTTAAAAGTTCTATTTCTTCCTGTGTCACCACACTGCTGTCAGTCTCTTTCAGGGATGCATTTGTTTCGTTTTGAGGTTCAAATGCAGAAAATAGGGGCTGCCCTAGGGGTGGACAGAACACAGGCTTCCCTTAGTGCAGGTGGAGGTGATTGTGAGTCCTAAACGGCACAGGAAGGAGAGCCCGACAGAGGAAATCCACTGTGATTGACATTGGAGCAGGGGCTGGGCCGGGGGGGGGCGGGGAAAAGAGAGAGACAGAGATCTCTGTAACTCAGTACAGAACAACAGTGCAAGAAAACGGGTCTCTTTAGGGGTTGCAATGCTGTCCTTACATTTATTTTCCCCAAACCTCAACGCACCCGATGCAGCAGTTTGCTGGACAAAAAGGGAGACCGCGGAGGGACGCCCAGTCTATACAACTTGCCACACTGCCTGTAAATTCAATCAAGTGCTTGTAACTCCTACGCCATCTCGTTTTCCCCTCCCCCTAGATCTCTGACGGGCGTGTTTGGGGGGCACTCTCCACATTAGAAAAGAAATACTCGAAGTATGACTCTTTCAAAGACATGACATTGATAATCATGCTCTTATTTAGTGCCGAAAAGATAGTATATGGGATTTTCCCCCACAATAGGTGGGACTTTTTTTTTTTATATCAGCCGGAATTTTACATGCTCCTACCTTGTTTTGGGTTAGAAACCTCAAGGGAAGAAATATTCGGCCAAATCCTATTAAGCTTTGAAGGATCTGCATGCATCAGGAAAAATCAGGGCATGTTATTTTCAGCTATCACGGCAGTCGGCCGACACAGAAAGTCATGTGGACGAAGACACAAACCGGACATCTGCTCTTCCACCTGGCCGTGATGCACCGAACACAAGGCAACCCCAGCACCACACGAGAGCAAGCAGCGGATGACTCCCAAAACACTGAATGGACATTGAATACAGAGCCCCTTCCCTGACTGACCGAGCTACGGACATTCACGTTTGCCGTCCCTGGGTGTCAGCGGCTTCGGACACCTACCCAAGTGGGGACGGCGGCAATGCCAGCCTCACACAAAGCTGGTGCCTGAAAGCGGAAGATAACGCAGGAGAAGTAATTTCTCACTTGAGGATTCCGGTCTCTGCAATTTATATTTACAGATAGGAACTGGCTGCATTAGTCTTTCCTGAGAGATTCTTTGGAGTATGTTTTAAGTGTGAGCCATTATCTCTGCAAAGAAGTGGATTGATTCCCTATTTTTATGCGTGCAATTTCTCAGAGAGAGGGAGAGAGGGGTGACCGGTGGCTGTGGCTGAAGCGAAAGAGACCAAGGGGCTTGCGATCACGTCTCAGGTTTGTCTGCTCGGGTGCGTGGATGTTCTCACGATGTTTTTTTTTTTTTTTAAACTCGACATTCGTTTCTAGAGCTATTGGTTCCAGTTCAGGCACAATGATAAGCATCGGTAATTCGAGAACTGATGTTACTTCTTGCTTAGAGTCACCGGTATGGAAAACGGTAGCTCTGGAAAAACAGACCAGCCAGCACGAGAATCGGACGCTTTCCAGAACGATTTTTGCTGAGGCGCACGGGCCGTATCTCTTACAGCACTCTCTTCATGACTCACGGCTACCATCCGCCGAGGTCAGCTCGAAACCACCCCTGAGTGGTCCTCTGGGACCACCCGAGTCCAGAGGAGAGCTCCCACCTCTAAACTCCGGGAGCATGGCTCTACAGCCCGGGCCCCTGACGCCTCACTGCCCTGCGGATGAACACGGGTTTTAGCATCGCTAGTTTACATTGCTCGGGTCCATTTCTCATCTCCGTAACTGGATTCAGGCTCTTTGAGGAAGGGCAAAGCCTTGCAGAGGGCCTCAGTAAATATCCGATAATCGAGTGATTGATATCACATGGCGGGGCCACTACACACGGGTATTATCCGATTGTTTCCTCCCTAATTAGATGACGGCAAAGAACATTCTTGTAAGACATGGGACCTTCACTGCCACTTCGGCTTTTTAATATTTGTTAGAAAGCTGATACCCTGTTGCCGCAGCAGCTCAGGAGATCTGTGGATGCTGCCGTACCCGTCCCCTTTATGAATGGGAAAGGGATGTAGCAATTTTCCCCGTCTGTATCCCTGTGCTACTCAGTAGATATCTGCTAATATGCAGGCAAAATATGCAAGCTGCTGACCGAAGGTTGCTTTTCACCGGAGCATTTGGTGAAGGAAAAGAACAAGCCCACTCGAACTGTGGTGATGGCTCTTGAAAAATGATAAGTTTGCATTTTCAGAGAATGAATCTGATTTCTAGAAGTGCATCTGAAAAAATGTCAAACCCCTGTTATACTTTTATATAATTATTTATATTAGCATGAATTAAGAAAGTTTGTTGACATGGTTCTCCTTTTCCTATAGGAGAGGCAAATACAGGTGACATGTTAAGTTTTGGTGATGGGTTTGTCTTGAGGAAATAAAACTAAGAATATGCTTAGTTATTTTGTTAGTGAGCTTCACTGAGAAATTTAAGTGAAGACAAAAACTTTACACTAAATTAATTTAGAAGTGAGTTTTGGAAATTAATTTCATGAGTTAAACTTTCTTCCACATTTCAACATTTTACAGTTTTTTCCCTAGAATGTTGGGGTTCCATTTTTCAGGATCCTCTGGTATGTATAGAAATTAATGTAGGGCATTCTACTGTTGAATAGTTAACTTCTTGGCCTGTGCAGAATTCTCAGGATAGGTAGACACCTCAGTTACAGTCTGATCCCCACCTAGAATACAGTTTTCCCCTGTGTTATGGTCTTAAAAGAGTTTCTTGGAGGTGGGGAGAGGGTAGCCCTGGCATGTCCTGGGAATATAATGAGACATTTTTTTCCCCAAACAACTTTATCATGTGGGATGCCTCAGCTCCCTGAACAATGGAAGGTCTGAACCTCCATCGTCATCATATAGAAATCCTAATCTTATCGATACATGTCTCTGAACTTATGTGCTATGTTTTTTCCTTGGGAGGAAAAATTTCCTTAAAAATATGGAAATCTGCGGGCCCCAAATTCTGATGGCACGTTACTATCTGTGCATACTTGCTTTACTATTTAGCTATCATGAGGGGTTTTTTTAGATTTTATTTAGTTTTAGAGAGAGGAAAAGGGAGGGAGAGAAACAGTGATGTGTCAGAGATACATCAGTCAGTTGCCTCTCGAGAGCCCCCTACTGGGGACCTGGCCCGCAACCCCAGTATGTGCCCTGACTGGGAATCGAACTGCGACCTTTCAGTTTGCAAGCCAGCACTCCATCCACTGAGCCACACCAGCCAGGGCTATCATGAGATTTTTAATTTAATATCTCATCTGAATCTTTAAAAATTTATTTTGTTTTATAGTTACAATGAAAGACACTTCATATTAGCCAGTCATTTTCTGGCAACTAATATTCCTTAAGATCCTAGCATATAGAAATAGTCAATCAATACGTCTAATAAATGTCGAATTCCCAGAAATAAATTAGGCACATCAGATGCTATATTAATAGCATAACTGAGACAAAGTCTATGTTATATACAATTTCAATGAAAAGTTCTCTGCCTCACATGCAGCTTCTGAGAACTTTTTACCTGTGGGGCCCCTTGTATCGAGCAGTTAGAAACTGCAAATAGAAAACAATTACAATGCATCACGTGTATCTGTGTTGCCACTTTAGGTGACCCACTGCGGACCTACCACTTTTACTCTTTCCTGCCTCAACTAGGGAGTATCTTGGGGCCACTAGGAGGTCTCAGCAGGAGGGTGTGTGGCCAGGCAGAGAGCCGGGGGGTCAGGGGATCAGGGGCCTGGCCGCGGTTCTGCTGTGAGAGGCGGTCTGGCTACGGTGGGCGTCCCCGGGCCACGGTGGGCGTCCCCGGACTCCGGTTTCCTCCGCTGCGAGGCAGAGGTGCTACACTGACCGGTCTCTAGGCTCCCTCTCAGCTGGTCAGTTCTGTCACTCCAAGGGCTCTCTCATGGCCAGAGTCAAGTTCACGGAAGAAGGAAGCCTGTCCGGCAAGGCAGATGTTCCTTGGAGAATCTAGGGGACTTACACTTGTTCTTCCTTGTGTGAAGGAAAACGTACTGCTGCGTGTCTGGACTCTGGACCTCCCGACTACCAGACTGAAACCCAGACTGGAGTCGAGAAATTATGCTGGGGGTGGGGAGGGGTCACCGCATGCGACCAATAGGATTGTAGGTGGTCAGTTTCTCCTTAAGGACCGTGGCCCCCACACCCCGGAGAATGGACTGGATCGCAAAGGCGCTGGCCCTGGGCGTAGGGAGACCGCAGTTGCGCATTCCACAGCTGCCCTCTTCAAAAAGGAACAAAATGTCTGAAGTGCCCATCAGATGCTATTACTCTGTTGTCGTCGCTGAGCTTTCAAATCACATCTGTGGGTAGCCCAGAAAATCTGGGGGGAGGTTTACTTAAAATACGGTGCGTGCAAACAGAGCACGGGCAGGATTTGAATCCCAGCTCCACCGTTTGGACAAGCCCCTTAACTTCTCCGTGTCTGGGAGGGCTCCTGCGTAGAAAGGGGCGATGCACTGCCTGCGGGTGGTGGAGGGCAGCAGGCTTCACATCTGCTTGGAAGTGTAGCGAGCATTCAATACATATTAGCGCTTATTATTCTAATTGTAACAGAAATCAGATAACCGTGGCATAAACGGTTCCTGCTGGATTGAAGTTGAGAAAATAACGCGTGCCCTCTATTTTTTTTTTTTTTTTGCAATCGTAATCGTTCCCAAAGCAGGTGCTTCTGATATATAAAAAAGTTTACTTCAGGGACCTAAATGCAGTTCTAGGGCCTACATTGGTGCGTGCCGTTATTGAGACAGCCGTAGAACTTATTCTGGAATGCCGTGAAAAAGATTTTACTTTTAAGATTTAAAGAAGTGTGAATTTCCAAGTTTCTTTCAAGTTCCAAAGCACAGCAGCGGTTAGACTCTGAATCAATATGGACCTTGCCTGATCTTTGTTCTCTCTCATTAAGGAGAGAACTCAGAAAACTGTTAGGTGACGACTTGGTTTGTGTGAAGTTCATTTTTATGAATCAGAAAAGCTGAGATTCTAATGATGAGAATGAGGCTTCAGAGGAAACTTTTTTCTCCTCGGCGCCCCAAGGAAAACGCTCTGTGCTGCAGGTCGGAAAGCACTGTGCTAGCAAGGCTAAGCCTGACCGTGTGTTGCGGCCTCCAGAGAGTGCGGAGCTGAGAAGCAAGTTTGGGGCAGAAGGGCTCCAAACACACCTTGACATCCCGCAAGCCTCAGGGGGAGGGCTGTGTCAGAGGATTTGCTTGTCTCCGTCGTCCGCAGCGTCCGCCCAGCCTGTATCGTGGGCAGCTGTCAACCGACTCCGAGGACGCCCTTGAAAACCGGAGCACACTATGGCCCAGCTTCTGGTCAGTTTTCTTCTAGAATAGTCTACTATGTAGTTTTTTCTCATAGTTTAGTAGTTTATTTACATGAGAAGGCAACATCGAATGTCACGGTCAAAGGCAAGGAGACCTAGTTCGGACACTGGACGTCCAGTGGGACGTCTGTCGCGCCTACTACCCAGGTGACTAGGTTCGCGTAAGCCTCGGCGGACTTTTTTGTAAGATGATGTTGGAACAGGGCTCCTTAAGTTCCCTAAAAACCCTAACTTTTACGTAATTTTTTAGCCCTAGAATTTGGTGGGAAAGAGGGAGCCGGCGTGGACATGAAAAGCCACAGCCGAGAGGACGTCCGTGG